AAAGAAGTTAGTATCACGGTTGGAGAATTGAAAGTCTTTGTTGTTAAAGAGTGGTCCTTATGGAAATACGAAGATGTTTTCAGTCGAAAATCATGTTATTTTTATATTTATATCAGCTGAAAGTTTTTTTATACTAAAATTCATTTAAAATTTCCAAAACAAGTGTTTTGTAATCCACTGTTAGATTAACTTATGTTGTATAAACAATTAAAGTATTGGCTAAAGATGCTTTGGACCGATTAAATCAAGGATAAAGTATTTTACGACGTTCATAAAACGTTAAAAATACTAGTGAGTTAAAATTCTAGATGTTAAATGTTCACTAACTGTAATCGTATTAACTTTATTGATTGTATAAAATAGTTTTATTATTATTTTCATATAAATTCAACTACTTTTTTTATTCTTTTAACTACATTAAATCTTGTAAATATTAAACTTTTAATCAACTTTATGTTGTTTCAAGTTCAATTTACAAAACTAAAGTATTCAATAATCGTAAAATTTTTAATTCTTAGTAAGTTTTAGAGTAAGGATAATAAATAAAACTCACACAAAACATATTTCTAAGTTCTAACTTATCTTCTTCTAAGTTACAGAACTAAAGCGTTTAATTCAAAATAAAACTATTATTTAAAGTACAGATTTCTACTCACAAATAAAACTATAATTAAACATTATATATTTATGGGGAATATATGAATTATTATATAAATATTAAATATACATTAAATACTGTTGATATAGTAAAATTATTAATTAATTTCATAAATTGATGGTATGTATGTAATAGATTCCATTTGTAGCAATTATCCCGTTGTTGTGACAACTGTCACTGTCATGTACTAGCGGTGTTAGAATTTAATTAATTAATATTATAACATAATATGTTTATTATATTAAAATTAACATAGAATATAGAAGTATTTTAAAAGATCGTTTAGTTTTGGATATTTTTGATTCTTTATTCTAAATGGGTATTAACGAAAAACGTATTAAAATTCTTAGAAATTATTATATTATCATCTTCTTTTTTAATATATGGCAATCAGTGGACTGGAATAGTATTTTTATTCGATATATTTAATTGTTAATAAAAGCCTTTAAACTGTTGCTTCATGTTGGTATAAAGCCATCATTATAAATGATTGGCGTACATTATATTTTATGTTGACTCGATTGTGACTTAAATTGATTATAGGCTTTTATTTTATTTCAATCATTAAGAGTAATATGAGAATAAACTTAATTTAATTCGTGTTTTATAAATTTTCTTGTGTCTTTGTGTGATAGATGTTTAAGATTAGGAGGCTCATGTAAGTAACGCTTCAACTAAGAATAAACGCAGTTTACTGCAACAATTATTTGAAATAAATAATTGTCGGTTTTTCGTGTTGGTATATATTTAAATTGAGTTTAAGTATAAATAAGAATGTGGTATGTAAATAAATTTCAAATCTTTGTTTTATTATTTTTTATTATAGATCGTAATAGTATATACCTACTATTTGTTTGAGCCAAAATGCTAAGTTGATGAGAAAATTTAGTGTTGCCTCTTGGTTACAAATTCTATATTTCTTAGAAAATAAACGTACAGGTAGACATAAAATATAAACAATAACAATATTCTGTTAATTTGAAAGTGACACTAAATTTTAATATTTAATTATAAATAAGTGAACTACCTTTTGTTTTAAAGATTTAATACCATCTTTGACCATAGTTTCTTTAGAGTTTTTAATGTCCAAACAAAATATTCAGTTTAATTTTTTTGTTTGACTTTTACTTACTAAAATACCATGTACCAGCCCAAGCTTCGCATTGGTACTATACAAAATATATAAAATAGCCTACGTTACGTATAATGCTTTGAGCAGTTTCTTTCCGAGTTAAATCAAGATAAACAAAAATTCATCAAATTTCTTCGTTAAATATATTTTAAGACTAAAATTAGAAAAATATTATATTTTTATTTTAATAATAGTTTTTTAATATAATAAATAAAAAAAATGTTTACAGCATTAATGACGTGATGATGTGAAAAAGTGAGCTATCTATCTTCAGCCATGTGAGGTCCACTGCTGGACATAAGCCTCCCTTATCGACTTCAAAGCACTACGGTCGGAGGCTGCCTGCATACACCGTGAATCAGTGGCCTAGACTAGGTCGTCCGTTCATCTCATTGTGAGCTATCGTGTGGATTTAATTTTGAGCATTATTAAACTAATCATAATTTTCAAATGGTATGTCCGAATTAAATAATTCAAAGAGTAATTTATTGATACTGATATTAGCTTACACACGAAGAAATTTAGTTTGATAAGACTTAATACTGCAATTATGTAAATAGCTTTCATACAAACGCTTCATGAATGGCAATTTCTAAAAATAGTAAAATGGATATAGTATGTTATCCTTAAGAGATAGATATATGCCATCGCGGAGTTTTCTGTAGACCTATATAAAATACATAATTCGACCATACATTGTTTTGTTATACCTCTAAGGGTTTTGGCAGCGTTTTCGTTAAAAGCTGACAGACGGCTCCTTTTTTTTAAACATCTTCAACAAATATCGTTAATTTACACACAAATCAATACAACACCTTACCAAATTATATATTAAAATCTTCCTCAAGAATTATGCTATCGAATAGTGAAAACCTCTTGATAATTGGTGCAGTAGTTTTTCAGTTTATTGCGAACAGACAGACAGACAGACGCGGCGGGGGATTTTGTTTTATAATAATTATGTATTGATTGAATCACATCCATCTGTATGCAACTTTATTTTCGTACTGAACTTGTGTAAAATGAAAATAATCACAATCTTTTAATATTAATAAATGAGATTTTTACTGCCTCGCCTGAAACGTGTAAGTATAAAGGGCATTTTTATCACCAAATGTCAGAACAATTAAGAATTGAGGAAATATTTTAAAATGAAAACTTTGAAATAAACATAATTAAATCCAAAAAAATATATTCAGAAATATATATAAATGTATACTAGTAGATAATATACTGCCCATATATATGATTTTGTATATGTATAATTATAGATAGATTCCTAGAGTGTTGATGTCAGGCAGGTGGCCGGTCGTAAAAACAATTAGCCAAAACCATTCACATTATGTAAGGCAGACCCTGGCTAAAGCTGGGAAAATGCCAGGTAGAAGATAATTATAGATATAAAACTTATAATGTAGGAAGTCTTCAGTTATTTTTTAATAAGTTAATTGCAAACAATGTTAGTAATAGCGTCTGGTATAACCTTCCGTTACTCGGAGCTATTAAGACGCGTTTCTTGAATTAATATCATTGATAGCCTTTTTCCTTCTTGTAATTAATGGTTTAACAATAAATTAGTGTTGAAAACTAACTGTGAAATAACAGTGGAGTTTGTAATAATTCTTGTGCTTTAATTCATTAGTTTAAAATTCTATTATGGACCAAAATTAAACTAATTTTTATGGAAACTATAAATCACGATATAATAGTTAGTAAAGCAACGAGATCTTGAATCTTATTCGTGTCGATGAATTTTTCATTGAATATTTTCTTTATGAATTTGAATTCAAATCTAACAATTAAATCAAAATAAGTTTCATGTTAAAATATGGTTGTATGACGCTGTAAAAAGGCTTTCTTAATCATTATTTTTTACAATTATGTCGAATATAAATATGTAAAAATTTCACTGGGTAATATTACTAGCATATTGTTAGTCAATACACGCAAACAAACAAACACACATACATTTAAATAATTTCCCAATTTTCATACACTCAAATCTCAATTATCCAAAGAGCAAAGCTACTAAAAAACAGCCATATTAAAACATTTAGGTAAACATAAAAGGGTATAGTTTATTATTCATATGAATAAATAAAACAACCATTGAATATAAACATTTATTGAAATTAATTAAAACTAAAAGAAATTTCAACTTATTCGTCCTAATTAATGGAAATTATTAATGAAATAAAAAGACGCCTTCAACTGAACCTTTGAAGTTAAAATTAACTTTTATTAACTTTAAACCTGTATGTACAGTTTGTTATAAATATTCTATAATATACTTACATTAATTTCGTTGAAGGACGTTTTTATACAAAAAGTTTTATTTTTTAAGTTAAAATAATGAAATGTTGAAAAAAACTTAGGTCAATTAAAATACACGTCAAAAAAAGTTTCTAAAAAATCACTTTTTCAATTGAACGAACATATAAAAAAAGAAATTCTCATAATTTTATCTAATACACGAAAAAATATACTTATACAATTCAGAAGTGTTCTTGTATTAAGATTTTTTTAATTAATAATCTTTGAAACCACTTAAAACACTCATAAGTTGACAGGGTCTTAGTATAAAAGTGTATTGTATATTGAGTGACAATTCCTGTTTTTAATACCAGGAATATATCTGGTAATTAATTATGATATCACATATATCAATACTAACTAATCAGTAGTATCACATAAATAAAATACGTTTAACAATTTTAGTATAACGTGTCATTATTCAACATTCTATACTAACTTTTGAAGATGAATCACATTTAGTTAGACATCAAAAGACGTGTAAAATGTTAAATATATGTTGAAACTCATAAGAGTCGAATGTAATCTGAAAAACGTATTGTTATTTATGTGTTGTGTTATTATATGACATTTCGTCGGGGATAATGCAAAACCGCGTAATCATCATTGCATAATTCCGCGTATATTTGAAGCAGATTATCAGGAGAAAGTTTAAGCTGAAATATTTTCTATATTAACGAGTTTTAAGTTAATTTTTCTTACAATTAGTAATAAATTAAACACTAAATAATTGTGAGAAAATTAACTTAAAACTCATTAATTAAGAAAATATTGCAGCTTAAACTTTCTTCTGATAATCTGCTTCCAAAGTATATACGCGGAATTATCCAATGCTAGTTACGCGGTTTTGCACTATCCTCGACGGTATGTGTTGTAATAGTTTAAGGTATTGGACCTTCAATCGTTTCTTTCCAAGAGTTTCCTGACCAGCCTCCAATCTTCCATGATGTCAGCGTCAGGTAACATATACACCACGTACGGTGGTGACACAGCCACCTGGCGTCTCCTCCTCTTCCTGCCCCAGTCAGCTCCACACGACCACAGATCCACCGCATGCCTCTCTTCCTCTATTTTACGTATCTTCTCTAATATCTCCTCTTTTAGATTCTCGTACGCCAGCCATTTTTCACTCTGTGTATAAAAAAAACATTGTTGAAATATCTGAGTCAATCATATACATAGGTAAGATCTGGGATCTATGTTGTAGTCATAAATAAGGTAAGCTATTTGTTTTAAATACGAGTTATTTTTGTTATAAGTTCTATAATATACCTTCGCGTGAGAATACAAATACATATATATTAGTATAAATTCAGAAAGCTCTTTGATAAAACATCGTGATTAAAATACTTGACATGGTGCCTTTCAAAAATATAAAATATTACGTCAATGACTACACTACCCGACTTCATAATACAATCAGAATATTCTATTTACACCTAGAACATCGCAGGATAATTAAGAAAATGTTTACAAAATCTCTTAAATGAATAACAAAACTAGGTGAGAATCCTTCAGAAGGTCTGCCCCTGATTACGGTTGATGTAAAGCTACCTATAGGTCTGATCAATAAGAAAGATTTACATTAAATATACAGGGTGACTGGTGAATTACTATCGATACTTGAGGACGTGATATTTGACGATCATATATGACAAAATAAAAATTAATATAACATAAATATTAATAAACTTCTAAGTAAAGTTAACCAAAAGTTGTGTAATTAATTACGCATCGTATGAACACCCTACAGATTAGGTATACACACACACTCACACAGACGCGTGCGGCGGCGTTGTGTTGTGTCAGCACGCCGCCGCACGCGTCCACACTTGGAACACTTGGAACGGGTCTACACTTTATTTATTTATACGGAAATTTGGTCAAAAATTAAGTACCTATTTTTTTTACATAATTCGAATGAGAATCATGTACCGAGTATTCTCCTTAAATATTGATAGTAATTCACCAGTCACCCTGTATATGTTCTAAATTATATTTTTCCTGATTTCGTAATAAATATACAATAATAATTATTAACACTGTTTAAGTACTAGTTATACTTATCGTATTATGTAACGATGTAATATTTTTTTTACAATTAAAAAGGAGTAACTGAGTCTAAAACTACTTTATAACAACTAAGTTTTAAGTTCAGGGTTAATATTTTTAATATATGTATATAAATAATGAAAAAGGGATTGACGACTAGTGTGTTTTGTGCATCAGAAGTAATTTACAGGATGGTCTAAGTGTTAAAAGACAAATTATCTACTCAAAACTTATTCATTATAGTCATCAACAGTTTTTTATATAGTTTGTGTTGTCCAAACTCCAATTATATCTGAAGCAAGTTAAGTTGAATGTTATGAAATTAAAAATACATTATACTAATTAATATAACTGTAAAATGTATGTGTGAGGATGAAGCGTTAGAATTTAATCAAACACTTCTATTTACGTTAAGTTTGAGTAAGTTTTTGAATATTAAACATTGATTCATACAAATATTAATATTGCGAATGTTCAAAACGTCTGTCTTTTCACAGATAATACCTGATTTGATAAAAAATGTACATATCGAGATGGATGAAACTGCAAAATAAGTATGAACTTATTCTGATAATATTAAAAAAAGAGACAAAAATTCATAATAAAAATACAGATTTTAAAAGACAAAGTTTCAAACCGAACTAAAGCAATACAAACGAAGATATCTATATATAATCCAACGAGCAAACAAACGTACAGTTTTGTAACTTGTATTGATATTATTAATACCCGGACCCCTCGAGATATGTCTCAGGTAGAAAAATCACACAATACATCCATTTAGGGGACGAACAGACATTCATTGCTCATCCTTTAAACTTGCGACGTTATAAACTAAAGTTATCCCGCGGCTTTGTTTGCCTTGTTAACTATTAACAACAAACTTTGTAACTGGTTATTTATAGTCCAAAAATTAATTAATCTGCTATCCAGTAAAGTTTAAATGAGTACAGGGTACGGGAAAAGAGTTATTTAGTGATTACATTGAAAGATAAACTCTGTTTTAAATATATATAAAACAAAGGTTATTCATAACACTAAATATAATTAATAAAGAAAATTAGGCATTTGAGAATAAAGTAATATTTTTGAAAATATAGTTTAGAAAAACCCTTTATATGTTTATAAGATACACTATCAATATGACAATTTCTTATACTGTATAATTTGCTGATAAAAATGTTATGATTATATAAAACTCGGTTTAGATATTTTAAACAATAATTAGAGAACGAAATAAATAAAACAGGTTATATACTAATAACAAAGAAATGTCTTTAAAAGTTAACTTTCATACAATTTAAATATCATCATAGAATTAAAATATCTAAGTTGCATCGAGAACACTCGGTACGTTCATACCGACTTCAACAAAAAGTAGTTCATGTTATTTGTCGCGAATACTGAGAAACACGAGACGTCGGTCCCAGTCGAGTTGAGTACAAAGACGTCGGTAAAAGCTCATTGGGAGCGATGACTCACGGCATTGCATGAGTTTCTTTGTCTATAACTATCTATACTTGAAACTATATATAAATATACAGAGTGACTGGTGAATTACCATCGATACTTGAGGACGTGATATTTGACGATCATATATGACAAAATAAAAATTAATATAACATAAATATTAATAAACTTCTAAGTAAAGTTAACCAAAAGTTATGTAATTAATTACGCATCGTGTGAACACCCTACAGATTAGGTATACACACACACTCACACACACGCGGCGGGGGCGTGGTTTTGTATCAGCACGCCGCCGCACGCGTCCACACTTGGAACACTTGGAACGTGTCAACACTTTATTTATTTATACGGAAATTTGGTCAAAAATTAAGTACCTATTTTTTTAACATAATTCGAATGAGAATCATGTACCGAGTATGCTCCTTAAATATTGATAGTAATTCACCAGTCACCCTGTATATATAATACTAGTCTCATTATAAAGACCCTTAGCCATAAGCAAGTGATATATCTATATTTATAGATTATATTATATATCCACGTGTCCGCTTAGTAGCTGCGCAGGCGCATCTCTTCCGGGAAATGTAAGCCACGAGGTCGGCCATCTTGTCAAGAGTAGATGTATCTTTTGTTGAACGAATGTCTTTGTTACATGATCGATAGAGATTATTTTTAAACTAGTCTAGTTATACTTAATAGTTATTTTGTTGTTAATTATAAATATCAAATCTGGACATATAATTTACTTTAATCTTAATATGAAATGTCGGGTATAATTGATATATTTTTTAAAAATAATACAATATAAAAACGTGGTTATATTTGAAGTCAATTTCTTTATATGTCAAGGTAAATTAATTATCTTTGGGTACCTCAATTGTGTCGAATAGTAATTTAATATAACCAAAAGGTTTCATATTTGACTGTTTCGTAAATATAATGTCGCTTGTGCGTTGATTATAGATTTCCTCTTAAACTAATTAAACTTGGTTTTCCCATATTCGTTATCAAGCTTGAGGTAACACAGGGTTTGGCCAAAGATAACTTTGAGTTCAATGAACATCTAAATAAGATATAAAAAGTACATAATATTAAGATGATTTCTATTAATATATCCCTACTAATATTATAAATGCGAAAGTAACTCTGTCTCTCTGTCTGTCTGTTACGCTTTCACGCCTAAACCACTGAATTGATTTTAATGAAATTTGGTACAAAGATAGCGTTGACCTTGAGAAAGAATAGAGGATAGTTTTTATCCATGGCTTTTGAAAAGTTCTCTTGGAAACGCGATATAACCAAACTCCACGCGGGCGAAGTTGCGGGCGGAAAGCTAGTCTCTTATATAATAATATATATATATATATTCCTACTTTCATTCTCACTGTTCCAAGTGCACATACCCTTATACCGTTACAGTATACGTTGTCGAATGAAGCTGAGGTCATTAGTTTATGGCCGGTCACATAGTTTTGAAGGCTCAGAACCTTTATATACTTTTAGTATATATGTAATATATTTCTTACATAAATTCAACATATATATGACTTGCTTTGAGATATTTATCTTGTTTTGAAGTATTGGATAAGTTATTTTATACATAACAAAATATATTAACGAAAAATTAAACATATACATGTATAACATTGTTTTAATAATAAGTTATTATTTTCTAATTTATTTAAAATACAATTGTTTCAGTTTTACTAGCCATAAGAACAACTTCATAACAAATATTAATATAAAAAAGATATGTACATTTAAAGTTACGTCAAACTATAGGTAACGACGTTCAGTATCCTTAGTAAGTGTAGTCAGTGGTGGCCTAGTGCTTAAAGGGCCCGCCTCTCATGCACGAGGGCGCGGGTTCAATCCTGGCAAGTACCAATGTGATTTTTCGGAGTCATATGTACTTTCTGAGAGTATTTAGACATCACTGACATACGGTGAAGGAAAACATCGTGAGGAAACCTGGACTTATAGTTTCACAATTATAAGTTTGAAATCACCAACCCGTCTTGAGCAAGCGTGGTGATTAATGCTCAAACCTTCTCCATGTGAGAAAGAGGCCTTGCTCAGCAGTGGGCTTCTGATAGGCTGATGACTACACTGTATTCTTTATACCGACACTTCAATGGTATACAAAACTATTACTAAAGACAGTCAAAATATACTAATTTTATTTGACGTTTGAATTAAATAGCGATAAGTTAGTAAATATATTAAATTATATTATTAGAATCTAGGTTAATTAATAATATCTTTAATGATAGTTGTCATTATTTGAACAATTATCTTCACAGCTATTTTTAAATGTAATGTAAATAATTATTATGTGGATTTATTCTTCAAAAGGATTGGAATTAATATTATTATCTTAATAGAACATTAATGCGTTAAGCAGACAGGAGTTTCAAAGCTAGCTAGTGTTATAATTTATTAAAATCATAGGTGAAAGAAAAAAAGGATTAAAATGCTGTTATTCTTCAGATGTTACACTTTTTCTTCTTGTTTACTTTTTCAAATTCATTATTAGATTTTTTATTATCCGATTAATTATTTGACAACTATCAGATATTCTTCAACTATAACATATAATTATAAAAAACGTTCTTAATAGGTGTCTTGAAAATGAAAAACCGCAAAATTTTGTCAATAATATGACCGTATTAGTAACCAAATAATCGGCTTCAAGACCAGGACGTGGACCATATAATTATTTTTTAAATCAAGCAGCAACATGTTTCATAAAAAAAAAATACGTCATCTGTGAAAATTTTAGATTTCTGCTAAAGTTCATGAGATACTGCTTAGTAACATACGAATAGACAGCGGAGGCTTACTAAGAGTTTTAATTTAATCATTTAGTACGGAACAATTACAATATAAGGAAAATTGTGAGTCACTCCCTCCAAAATTTACTATACCATTACGTAAGATAGTAAGAGACATAGCATCAAATATACATATAATAATAATAATTGTTGTAAAGACACGCAACATGTTAAATATACAAATGGAAATATATATATATATAAAATTTTTTGGAGTCCCTCTGCGCGGAAGAAGTGAAACTTCGTAATATTGTACAGAAAACAGGAAGGGGAAGAAATTGATTTTAAAGTAAACTTTAATGTTTCTTTGAAACACACTTTATTAACATTACAAGTCACAATTGATTGCCTGTATGCGTTTGAGCGCCACGCATTCCTTATCACTGTCTCTTCTTATCCCCTCTCCTCCAAGAGCGTTAAACGTTTAGCGCAACCTTCTTGGAAGTCGCATACGATGTTTCACTTTAATAAACTACAAAATTTAAGTTAAATTAAGAGTTCGTTGTCATCAGCCTACCTATCAGAGCCCACTGCTGAGCAAAGGCCCCTTTCTCACATGGAGAAGGTTTGAGCATTAATCACCACGCTTGCTCAAGACGGGTTGGCGATTTCAAACTTATAATTCTGAAACTATAAGTCCAAGTTTCCTCACGATGTTTTCTTTCACCGTATGTCAGTGGTATATAAATACTCTCAGTTAAGAGTTATGTTTTGTGAATTTGAGAACTCAATGAGTTTCATATTTGACAATTGTGAAGGAAACGTATGTATTTAATTGACTTCGTGTAATTCTAATATCATAATCTATTTACTCTAACGATACTCTAAATTTTGATATTAAGATTTAAATTCTAAATTATAAATCAAAATTTAAGACTATTCATTATAAACAACTCAAAAGAGCTATATGTACATAAAACTTTTTTTCTCACATAAACAATTTAACATCGTATAAAACAGCCCCGTAAATAAACAATTGTAACAATTAAATAATTAAAACATAACTGTAATAGCTAACACTGCAAACTTAAATATGTATAAGTAAATAAATGTTTTAACTTTAAAAAACGAGACGAAACAATAACTTTTATAACAGGTGCTAAATTCAGTACTAGATTTCTTTATAATAGATTATTGTGTAAATGAAAAGTGACTTAAAAAGTAATTCCCTTTGCCTTATTTCAACTACATATATACGTATATGTCTGTATATCAGCCATTCACAAAAATACTATCCGAATGTGGTTCAAGTACGACAAATAAGATCCTAGTGAATATTTTGAGAGGTGTTAATAAAACATAGCTATTTATACAAAAGAATGAATTTTTTAAAACCTTTTAAGCAAATCATAGCCATTCCATAATATCTATCATAATTAAATATTTACATATATGACGACTTTCATACTTCTAAACTAAACATAAATGTTCTATCATGACTATTTATTCATAAGAGGGATTTTGTTTCATACAACGTTACATGTACGTAGATCTCATTCTGTAATTCTGCCAACATTACAACATCCTTACAATGAATCAGCTGTGACTGTGCCCGGTCAGCTGTTTAGTGACGTCATCGTTTATCTGAGTCAGGGAGAGTATGACGTCATCGTTTATTGAGATTCAAATACTCGGATTTGGTTATAAAGAACATTTGAGACGATAAGTAAGGATCAGATGTTTATACATATATGTACATGTATATATTATAAATGACAAATTTGATCTCTTAAGAAAACTCTCATAAAATTAATATGAAACACCTAGTTAATAATAAGTAATTAATTACGCACTTAATATTTAATCCTGAAAGAGAAATTCTGGGTAGATTTTGGATGAATGGGCGAAAAAGATGAAACAATGAACATTGCTTCTATTTCATACAATAATATTTACTAAAAGCTTCTATAAAGCGCACAATGATAAATATTTCATGTTGAACTATTCGTTATTTCATTGTTCAAATAATATCTATATGACTGTTTGTGATTTTAAATATGTTATGAGGATATAAATCTATTTTTAGTGCACACAATATATTGATATTCAATTTTGTTTTCGGTTAATACATATACAGGGTGACTGGTGAATTACTATCGATACTTGAGGACGTGATATTTGACGACCATATATGACAAAATAAAAATTAATATAACATAAATATTAATAAACTTCTAAGTAAAGTTAACCAAAAGTTATGTAATTAATTACGCATCGTGTGAACACCCTACAGATTAGGTATACACACACACACACGCGTGCGGCGGCGTGGTGTTGTATCAGCACGCCGCCGCACGCGTCCACACTTGGAACACTTGGAACTTATCCACACTTTATTTATTTATACGGAAATTTTGGTCAAAAATTAAGTACCTATTTTTTTTACATAATTCGAATGAGAATCATGTACCGAGTATTCTCCTTAAATATTGATAGTAATTCACCAGTCACCCTGTATATTGTTATTTATGTATTTTTAATAGTATATACACGAACCACTGACATAATGATATATAAGCGACTATATAATATATGTATAAAGCATGATATTTTAATTAACCTTTAAATATATATTATGTTTCTAATAGAATCTTATTCCCAAAGAGGATTGATGTCAGGCAGGCGGTCGGTCGTAAAAACTATTAGCCAAAACTATTCACAACATGTAAGGCAGACCCTGGCTAAAGCTGGGAAATTGCCAGGTAGAAGAAGAAAAAGAATTTATTATAGAAACTTATTCAGTATTATGATGCCCATTTAAATAAGAATTTCCTCTGTTTAATAAACATATGGTTCATTTTAACTTAGTCTTGATCATCGTTTGGTAGTATTGTGTTGTTTAAAAACAATAACAGCATAACCTTTGAAGTCCTAAAGTACCTTAATAATACGTATAACATGAAGTCATTGTTTAAGTCTTAAAAATTGTTTTCATTGAAAATATTGGTTAAAAATAACTAAATGACATCACAGTTTGGGAAATTTTACCTTGATATATGATTTCAAACTTGTTTATGTAACACGATTGTTTGAGTATATTTAATGAATTTATTATCAATGAATTCGAATTTAATTTGTTCAATCAAAAGACTCGTATGTGAAGCATCATTTTGAGAATATTAGAATATGAAAATTGTATAAGAAAATTAGGTTTTTTGGTACAGTCGGTGTAAAACCTCAACCTTTTTAGTAACTATAAATGTCAGTGACTTAGTATATAACCTATCGGTTAGTGCATTAAATGTAGTTTAATGTCTTAGAAAATCTTCTATGACGTATAAATATTTTCTTTTTAATTCTAAAGAATAAAATATGATTCAACAATAAGCCTTGACTTATTTAACAATTATACATTTATAAGAAATATATAACTTTCAAACTAAGCATTCAAATTATATAAACAATATATTAAAAATGCAATATTTTGTATGTTTCAGTATATAACTTATCATATATGTTATCTTTCTCGTGGCAATTAAAATGAAAAACCATTTAAGCCCCTATCATAGCATCAATTTAATATATATTTAATTTTAAACATAACCCATGATTTTATAAATCGGTTGACTATTAGCAGTTATCGTCGGTTGTATCATAAATAAACACTGATAAGG